AAAAAAAAAAAAAAAAAAAAAAAAAAAAAAAAGTTGGTAGAAAATGGAAGTACAAGATAATACAAAAATCTTTCCATGAAGTTTCTGAAGTACCCTCATATAAAAGAAGAGACAATTGAGAATCATGGAAGTTAGAAGATAATAAAGTGAGGACTCAAACCCAAGTTTAAATGACCAAGCCCCCAGTGTTTCCAATATTCCCATGTTGCCTTTCATGAGTGTTTTATTAACAAAGCTGGATAACTTAATAGTAATGACTGCTTTTTGAAAGGTTGTATAATGATTTCTACTTCCAGGGGGGAAAAAAATGGACCAAGTAATTCAGACCAACCCTCCCACAAAAAATAAAAAGGCTTAAGGATATTAACAGCATACACAGCATTAAGGAATTATTGGGTTAAGATGCAAGAGAAGACAGAAACCCAGAGATGAGACTAGCTTTTGGGGGAGTTCTTCCCCTGGGTCATTTGCCAATTCCAGAAGCAGCAGCCCAATGTGCTTTTGACAGCTTTTGGAGCCTGGCTTTCTATGCCCCCAGGTGTCTGAAAGATGCAAACATAAATGCTCTCTGGAGGCAGGCAACATCATTATAAGCCTCAAATTACTCTGAGATCATTTTTTCAAATACTCTATATAAATAATTAGGTACACAAATAAAACAAGAATGAGAACCAAACCAAAGTTGATAGAAAAAGACCCACAGGTAATTCAGATACCAAAGTTAATTAGACATGGATTTTTAAATGCTCATGTTTGTATTTGAGGAGATTAAATTATGAATTTTAACATAAAATTGGAAACTATAACAAGGATGTTCAACAAGTAGTTCAACTTCTGATAATGACAGACAAGGGAAAAGCTCAACAAATGAAACACCTGCTTGACAGGACTGTAGAGATAAAAATGCAGTGAGAACTATAGGCACAAAATCTTGAGGAAAAAAAAAAATCCTGGAGAGCTGAATCTGATATTTGAGTTTTTTTCTCCCCAGAGGCATTAACAAACTATGGAAGAAAAGATTTAGAGGCTGAGAAAGAGTTTTAACAGACCTAGGGCTAGTAAGAATTAAAAATATTATTTCAGTATTACTTGTGCAAATAAAAATAAGAAAATTCCATTGTCTTCTGGCTTCCATTACTCATGCTGTGAAGTTACATGTAAATTTTTTCTAGTGAGGGTCAACTAGAAATAGACTGACCCTCATTAGGTCTGAAGCCCAATTCTGAATTGCCTCCATATCTCTGAAATTGCGTTAAAGCAATCTGAGATGGCTACTGACTCAGCTTTCTGCCAAAAGCAATCATCAATCTTCTTTGGAGAGGAATAACACATTTTCACATATACTGTTAAGTACTCAACTAAAATTAACGAGACATATGAAGAGATCCGATAACTTGGACATCCAGATACCCAACAGACGATAAGAACAGCCCCAAAAGAAGATCACTATAATAGGATTATCACACATAAGACTTTAACTAGGCTCATTATGTTCAGGGAAATAAAAAATACTAATAATTTCTGCAGAACCATAAGAACCAAATGTAAATTCAAAAACTGAAAACATATTCCCCAACCCATTTTATGATGGCAAAACAACCTTGCTAACAAAATTAGAAAAGGTTAATCTCAGTTTTTAATATAAATGCACAAATCCTAAAGGAAAATAGTAGCAAACAAACTTAGTAATTTATTTAAGAGATATTGTGACAATGTCAGGTTGGTTCCTAGAATGCAAGGTTGGTTTAACATTAATAAATCACCATATGAAAAAAGACACAAATCACTTGAAATGCAGAAAGAGCATTCATTAAACACTTGTAACTGATAACTTCCTAGCCAAAGTGGAAGTAGAAGGAAACTTCTTTATCCTGATAAAGACTGCATACCCAAAAATAAGAAAAAAAAAAAAAAAAGAAAAAAGAAACCTACAGCAAACAGCATGCTCACTAGTGAAACATTAGAAACCAGAAATTCTAGTCACCATACTAAGGCAAAACAAATTTTAAAAATTTTAAGATATGTAGATTAGAAAAAATAAGTAGTTTCGCAGATATGACAATACAAATTTTAAAAATTTTAAGATATGTAGATTAGAAAAAATAAGTAGTTTCGCAGATATGACTATATAAATAATTTGTTGAAAACTCAGTTTAACAATGAGTGAGATAAAACCAAAATATAAAAGTAAACCATTAGAAAATATAATTTCAAGAGATATCACTTACAATAGGAGCAAAAATCAGCATGATAAACTATAAACTTAAAAGATCATTAGGATCATTATGAAGACAATTGTAAAACATTATTGAAAAACATCACAGACCTACAAAATAAGAAGGTAGGCCTACATTCAAGATGGAAAGACTCAATATCACGAAGACACTAGTTTTCTCCAAAATGATCTAAAAATTTAAAGGAGATTTCCATCTACATCCCAACAAAGCTTTTTGTGAAACATGGAAAACTGATTCTAAATTGTGTATGGAAAAACAAAGCCATGATATCAAAAGGTAGCCATGATATTCCGAAAAAACAATGTCAGGGGAGTTATCTAACTAAAAATATTATTAAACTATTGTGTTTAAGAAAATGATATTGACACAAAAAACCAAGTAGACCAATAGAACAAAGAACAAAAAGAGCCACACAAATAGAAACATGATATGACTCAGCTAGCACTGCATATGGGAGAACAGATTATTCAATAAATGGTGCTGAGAAAAAAATGAAACTGAAAAAAATGAACGACATAGGAAAAAAATGAAACTGAACCTTATACCATACATAAATCAATTCCGGGTAGAAAAAGGACTTGGGTACAAAAAAATAAAACTATAATTTTTGGAATAAAACAGTCATTCATGACCTTCAAGTTGAGAATAATTCTTAAGCAAGATATAAAAACCCACAAAAGATAAAAGGCTGATACATTTGCTAAATTAAAAATAAACACATCTGTTCATCAAAAGACACCATAAAAAATACAAGGCAAAAAGTAAAAACAGGTATCTGCACACACACAAAATCAATAAGCAGACAAGATATAAACGTCCACAAACCAGTAAAAAAATAAACAATGCAACAGAAAAATGGATAAAAGATATCAAGTTAAACAAATACAGGTACAGAAATATATACACAATATGTTAATTATATGTTAAGTAAATAAAAGTTCAAACAAAAAAAATTAAACATTATTTAAATAAGTATGTACGTACATGTGGTAAAAGTATTCAGAAAAGAAATGATTAACACAAAATTCAGAATAGTGGTTCCCTTATAAAGAGAGGGGGACACATCAGGGAGAAATATAGAGACCTTCAGTTGTACTGGCAATGTGCTATATTTTTCAGCTGACTGGTGGGTGTCATTGCTGATCACTAATATTCTTTCTATCTAAAATGAATGTTACAGTCTTTTTTTGTGTGTATGAGTTTCATCTGAAAAGTTGATGGGCCTTTTGTATAGGAAGCTGAGAGCAGTTTTCAAAGTTTTGCTTGTTTTAAAGCAGAACTTCCCTGAAGAAAATCATTAACTAGTAAAATAGATGGAAGTATAGCTCCTCTAGTTGAAGTGGAGAAGAGAAGCCAAGACCTTTTACCTCCACCCTCATACAGAATCTGAAGCACCTCTTCAGAGGAACAGAATTGGGGGAGGTGGGAGGAGGTAATCACTGGACTCCATGCGGACATTCCTTCCAATCCTGAAATTCTAATATGCTAAACTACAATGCCCATGAAGCATTCACTTGATGCCACTTACAGATACTTCATAAAAGATCAGACAGCACAGAAGCATCTGAAAGATCTTAGCTACTACTCAAATTGACCACATCCACATGTAAATACACTCCAGTGTGTTATTGTATGAAACATGGTCTTCAAATCAGCTCGATTACATTAGCACAGGCATTTAAAGTTATTATGTTGACGCAGCTATCACTCTAATAGTCATTTATCTTATTTAACTGGAACATTTCCCAGGGTTATCAAATTGGCAATTTAAGACATGTTTAAATTGGTGAGCTCCAAACATGTTAAGTTTCCTTGAAAGAGAAACATTGTGCTCAGTTTCAATTATTTTGAATAATAAACTAAGAAAACATTCCTAGAATCTTTAATTTTTTTTTTTAAAGAGCCATACTTTCTGTTAATCTGGTTAGTTTGAAAAAGTTGCAAAAATAAGCTTTTAAAAATAGTCTTTTTAAAAAAGGATTTATCAGAATCAAAGAAATCAAAGCAAAGAAACAGTAAGACAGTGACACTCTCACAAATGAGTGTCTGGCACATAGTAGGAATTCCAATGCATTCAATACGTGAACAAACCAGAAACAGAGCTTAAGTAAAAATGTGAAAATTAACTCACTAGCTAAGTTTCTATTAATAGCTTTTTACTACTATCTACTTAGTTCAATAACCTCAGACAATGTAGTGCTTGGGGAGATAAGGTATGTTCACACTTCAAAGCAACTAAGAATTTTTCTTTTATATTGTATTATTTTTTTTTACAATATAATTCCAAATTATATAAGGGGACCTATTAAAAAGTTCCCCCTTAAACTCCTTATTTCACAGCCCACAGTCCTGATTCCAGACAAATAAAAAATGGATTAGTATATATTTTTCGCTAAGACTGGAAAAAATTTAAAATACGTAACCAAAAATGAGTCCAAAAATATTCTCACTTATAAAGAACAGTGTTGTAAGTATTAAAGTACAGCTGCTTGTTATGGCAGATTTGAAGTTTCTAATTTTAAACACTTCTACAGACTAGTTGTCCACATTTTAAACAAAAAAATACTTTAGATACAGGAATCATTAAATGGTCTCCAAACAATGAAACTTTCGAATATAAATTAAAAAAAAACAAAACCTGGTACCATGATTTTCATTCTAGTCAAACAGGAAACTGCTTAAAACCCAGTTTCTAGAAAAGACTTCGAGAGCTTAGGTATATATACTCATGCCCTTTAGTTGCAAAATACTTGTTTTCCTCATCTAAAAAAGTCAGAGCTGTTTTGTCTGTTTACTGCTATTAGCTTTCAAGCACTGACTTTTTATTTATTTATTTTTTTGAAATTTTATTTATTTATTTATTTAGTCAATATACAATGTGGTTGATTATTATGACCCATCACCGAAACCTCAAGCACTGACTTTTTTAAAAAAAACTTTTTGAATGGACATCCCTGTAAATGGTTCTAAATCTAGATAATCTGAGACCTCTTAAAAGACTTTGCTAAATACCTGGCCACTAAAAGCAGCTGACCTTGAGGCCAAAAGACATCTCTTAAAAGACTTTGCTAAATACCTGGCCACTAAAAGCAGCTGACCTTGAGGCCAAAAGACCAAACCATGCAGAAAACCAAACCACAATCCCCTGAAAAGAAAAGAGAAATTATACACTAAGTCTATGAAAGTTTTAAAGTTTTTAAAGATCACAGACACCATCCACCAAATCTATAACGATTGGCCAACAATAACATAAGATTATTCTTCCCCCAACTCACATTTTATGTGTTAATGGAATAAGTCTTAACCAGGTATACATATATTCAATTCCTATGTTCTACTCCATTTCCTTTATACTTACTTGCGGCCTGACAATGAAACCGAAACCCTCGTGGAATTTCACCTATAACATAAAATATTTTGTTGAGAGACGCAGGAATCTGGAAGTTCTCTAGTTGTGCTACAATAACATTCCATAAGATAACCAAGTCATAACATAGATAATTTTTATTATGTGAAGATACAAAAGATTAAACCTCCATTGTGGTTTTCTTTTTTAAAATCAAAAGTATGACGACTATCAAAAAATTTTGGTATGTTGTCTAAGCTACTTTTAAAAGCAAGTTACACCTTACAGAGAAGGAAAGGCTAGACAAAGAAAGCTTGTACCAAAGGAGTTTTAGGCAGGGGTCCACGAACAGGCCTTAGGGAGTCATGAGGCCTTTGACGCAGCAAGGTGTATATGTATTTCTTAGAGGGAAAAAATTCTCCAAATTTTAACTTTTTAATATTTTACAACCATATGAAAAAAAGCTATTTGACTTGTCCAGAGCAGCAATAGTCACAAATACTATTATCAAATGAAGTTAAGATAAAAAATATGCACTTTAAAATCTAGCATTTATTTTAACTGGCTACTTACCAGGATTTATAAAACTGTGGAAATCTGCCATAATACCTTCTTGAAGAGAATATTTAACACAGCCAATTTCACAAGGGAGGAAATGCTGTTCACAATGAGGTAGCTCGCCATGGCTAAAAATGTCCACAAAATAAAAAACACCTCCAAAGAGAGCTAAAAAAAAATTAAAAAATAATAAAACAAAACGAACAAATGAGTGCCTCATATTTACCCCCTCCACAAGTGACTCTTTACTTCAAGGAGAAAAACAAATTTTAGAACCATTTTCTTTGTATTCCTATATTTTTAAATGAGCTGGAAAAGAGAAAACTTAGCTGTACCAGAAAAATCAAAATTTTTATAATTACACTTATCAAGGACTCCAGTAGTAAACACTCTTGGCATGAAGCAAGAAACTATTTAAACTTGCAACCAGCTCTACGTAATTCAGCTATATGGAATGATATAAGAAAAGTTGTGACTTATATCCAACAAATACAAAGGTTTGGGAAATAAAGCTAAGCAGAATCAGTGCAGAAAAATTAATATAAACAATGGACAATTTTTACCTTTTTAATTTTTCCAATACAAACAAGAACACCTATAAATTCACTAAAGAAAGAAATAAATGTGAGAATGTGTGAAGTGTTATTTATCAGGATTGGCCACATATAAGACTATTAAAAGTTTATTAGTGTTCAACAAAGGCAGAACATAATTAATAAAAACAGCCCGAAGGAACAGCAAGGACCTTTATTAGCTATGTTCTCTTCTAAGCTAGCTCAATAATTCATCTTTACTTTTCCTCTACCCACCCCCAGGATATTTTTAAAATTTTATTTTTAATTGACAAATAATAATTATATATTTATGGGTGACAATGCAGTTTTTATGTATGTATACATTACAGAATGATTAAATCAATTTAACATCTCTCACTTCACATACTTATTTTCTATGGTGCAAACATTTAAAATCTCTTTTAATTTTGAAACATACCTTATTATTAACTATTGTCACCATGCTATACAACAGATCTCAAAAACTTATTCTTCCTGTCTACCTTTATAACAAGTGTATATAAGTGTTGAGGTATAAACAAGTCTAAGAAGCATATATGACATAAGAAGAAGTAGAAACCAAGAGACCAGATTTTTGCCATAAAGAAAAAAAAAGACTCTCCAGTATTATTTCAACAAATGCTAATTACCTGATCTTTCATAACTTTGGTGGCATAATACTTAAACATGTGTGGTCAGTACTTCAAAATGGAGGATCAAAATGGACAGAAAATATTTTTACTGATCGATATAGTGTTTTGAGCATCCAAATTTATCTAAGCAGGGCCGACCCGTGGCTCACTCGGTAGAGTGCGGTGCTGATATCACCAAGGCCAGGGGTTCGGATCCTATATAGGGATGGCCGGTTCGCTCACTGGCTGAGTGTGGTGCTGACAACACCAAGCCGAGGGTTGAGACCCCCTTACTGGTCATCTTTAAAAAAACGAACAAAGAAAAAACACAAATTTATCTAAGCAAAGTATTTCAGTATTACTCTACCTTGATCACTTTTTAGAGACAAACTTGACATATCTGGGGGTGAAACATTCTGCTCTGGTACAAGCATGCCAGGCCTCCTCAGTGGTGTGGAAACAGGTTTCTGAAGAGGAAGAGAATGATTGACCGCATACTTAAACTCTTGCTGGGCACTTTAAATCATATAATTAAATTCAGCAAAACAGTTATTTCAGTAACTTCTCAAGGGCAACAAAACCAATGAATAAATAAATGCTTGTCAATAAAATCAACACCTAAAGGCAGACAACAGAAAAATCTATAAACACTCTGAATCAGGTGAGTGGTAAATAACCAACTCAACTACTACTGAAAGCCATTTGCCCACTACTGATTATCTAAGCTAATCTTCCTGAGCCACCTACTATGTGCCAGGCCTGTGGCCAAAAGAACGCCATTAGCCAAAGTACTCTGATATTCTGTTTGCTTCTCACTTAAAGTAAAAACCAGATCATGTTGACTTCAAGTCTCACATGAGGTATTTCAAGTCTCACATGAAGTATACACATAACATAGCCTAAGTTTGGGGGGAAAATGTCTTTTAAGAAATTACAGTAAGAAGAAAAATCAAGGCTCGCAAGTATAACTAAAGCACAAATCCAACTGACTAGCGCTTCCACTCAAACATAAATACACAAAGATCTTTCAAACCTAAAGCAAGCATAACTCTCTTGAATTTCAATCCAATGTTGGTAACTTAAGAATGGAATTTTACTATGTAAGAATGAAGAGAACACGGAGGAGGAGAAAAACCCCAATTACCTTGCACTTTCCTGATGCAAATTAGCAAGAAAACAAGTTTTATTTAGTACTTTAACATTCTACTACCCAGAAATTTACCCAAATAAAATTTATTCAACTCTTTCACTGTAAGCCATACAAACACTCACCAGCATCTCCAAGTCTTGTTATTCCAATATTTTAAATGCAGCAACTGGCTCGGTTCCAGATGCCTTTTTAAGAGATAAGTCCAGACTACTTTTAAGCATCCAAAGAAAGACTTTTCGATCATAAAAGATCCGAACGGGACATTCAGAGGTCATCTAGTACGACCCTTAAATACTAACTCCCATTCCTGATCAAGGTTATTTTCTAAAGGTTTCCTACCAATGTGTGCTTTAGTTACGGGGTCTGTTGGTTTTTTAACAGGCATTCCGACACCAGGAAAACAAAACAAAACAAAATGAAAAACCAACACACACACAAAACAAACAAACCAACCAACCTCTTCTTGGCTCTAACCCAAATCCCCAGGTAGTCCACCCCTGACATTCACCCATTCACTCATCCAGCACTTACTGAACGTGCCTATGTGCCAGGCAGGTGGTTGCTCTTCTCTAGCTAACTTTACCTGTTTCTCTGAAGGCCCGGAGTCCTTTCCCTGGACGGCCCTCCACTCTCGAGCCATTTCTGTGTATTTCTCCTTTTCTTCCTCCCTCAGGAGCTTTGGGAGATTAAAGGAGGAGACAAGAGAAGCAGCGGTGAGAACCAGGTGCCCCGGACCCCGCAGATAGATGCCTCGGCATTACAGGGAGGCGGCTCCTGCGTCGGTTTTCCCAGGGCCAAGTACAGGGGCCTCACTCTCCCTCCTGTCGGGGCCAAGCGGTCACTGAGCTCCTCGAGGCCTGTCGCCCTACCACTTGCCCAACTGCCCTGCCCGGCTCGGCCCGACTCACCCCACTCCTGCCTTACCGCCCAGTCTGCGGAGCAATAGGGCATGGCATCAGCTATGCGAGCCACGGGCAGGCCTCGCCGCCGTAGCTCAGGGATCTTCTCTCGCACGAAGAAGTAGTAGGCATTACGGCTGGCCCTGCGGTTCGGCATGGTGAGCGTTGCCAGGCTTCGACGTGAGCCTGAGCCTGCACAAGCCGCCGGCCCCCTCACTGGACTCTCGCCCTTAGTAACCGAGGTGAGCGCCTGCGCGCTCAGGCTCGCAGCTCTCGGCCAATCAGGGCGTGACGCGCAGCCGCATTGGCCTCGCTGGGGGAAAACCAGACTGAGACGGGAAGATTCCACCTCGTGCGCTCGCGGGGG